CAATTAGCCCTTTACTCTCATGTTGCCATCTTCAGCCTACCAGCATTCCTTTGGGAGCTCCTGTGCACAGCCTGACATTCTCTGGCCTTGGAGCCTGCTCTGCTCCACTCCAACCCCTCCATGACCTCAGGAATTCAACCGCAGAACACCCTAGAGCCTACACAAGAGTCAAAGATGCCACCAGGTTCTTCAAATACTGTCAGTGGTAATAACCTTTTCCAGTTCTAAGAACAAGCACTGCAGAGAAAAATTAAATACCTCAATTACCATATATTAAGCTGAAAATAAAGCAGGGCACTATATTTAGCTATTGCGACAGCTGGCTGTCTCTGTGTGTGTAGGTCTTCGCCTGTGCAAATCTTTGGAAAGATACCTTCTTTCATTTGGAGAAAATTCTAAATTTTGCCCTCCCACTACAGACCTTTTCAACACATTAATAAATCTGAATCAGTTATCAACGTAGCCACATACAGAAAGTAGTAACTGAATTATCATGGCAAACAAATTTTTTTTGGACTTTAAATGAAATAATGTAGCTACTTTTTAAACTGTAAATCAGGGGAAGGATGCCTGAGCCTTTTTGCAGCACACTGAAGGAGAGTATTACATACTGGATGACCGTGGCATGCTAGGTGTAAAAAAAGGACTAAGATCTGAACTCTCTACACACTTGGTTTTAAAAACAAACACATTATTACTTTGTTTAGCTCTTTAAAATTGTCTATAACATTCTTACTAGGAGATCAGAAATCTCAACTCTTACAGCAGGTAAATAAGATGTGTATGACCAAACATCATCTCCTTCACAAGATTGACAGTCTTAAAAGTGCCAATAATAGAAGCATGGCCCCTTGGGTCGGACTATAAAAAGCCTTACACAAGGAACAGGAAACCCAAGATTTGTCTGTCTGCAGTGCTACCATGCTTGTGTTACAACAACAAATCAAGATTTCCCTCCCTATTTTAAAATCTAGGGAAAATGCTCAGAGCCTACCTTCTTGAAAAGAAGGCTGATGGGGAAAAAATCAGATACGTATAGAATTTATCATTTCTCAGGAAAACAAATCTAAACTCTGTTAATCACAATCACAAGCTTCCCACACAAGAATTCTACTTCTTGTAGTCCCGATTACATTTGTAATTTTACAGTGAGAAATTACTACCAGTTAACAACAATTAAACCACCTTCAAATATTTCCTAAACAAGGTACATACAAGAAGTGTGCGGGAGGGGGTTATTATTAAAAAGAGATTTGAAGATCCCATTTCAGATCTACTTACAGAATCTTCAGGAAGAATCCTTGGACCCTGAATTTTTATAAGCGCCTGGATAGTTTTCTATATTCAAAGTTTAAGAAATGCTGTAGCAGGTGCTACTAGTATGATCTTAGTTTTGTAGATACAGAAAACTGAGGCTTTCCATAATTTACCTGAGGTCATAGTTTACTATGGCTACTCATTCAAAACCACCCTACAAATGTTCAATTCTAGCATGAAGAAAAAGGAAATACAGGTCAAGAGTTGAAACAGAAAACAGAAGTCTTGTTGACCGGTAGTTTCCTAGATTTCAACATAGTCTGTTAACCTGCTTGTGACTCAACTCTTTCGCCTAGGGTAAAACTAAAACAAATTAGGGACTACTATTTTGGATACAAGGACATTGTCTAATTCCTTGGAAAAGAGGCAAGCTCCTCCACCTCCACTGGTTATGTAGATGATAGGGAGGCTGTGGATCCAGATGCTGACAGTGATTAAAGTGAACTCCCTAACAGTCTGTTTAGGGACTGGGCTCTTGCTCTGCTGCAAAGAGAGCGATCCAGATTAACTGTCAGAACATGTATCTTATTTTAAACCACATGAATGATCATCTGACTGATACCATTAAGTCAAGGTCTTTATAATAAAAACTGGCAATCAAAATCAAGCATTTTGTTGTGATACTGCAAGTACATTCAGATTCACAAGATGCGTTCCCACTATGATAATTGTATCAAGACTGGAGTACATTAAGTTTTACTATCCTGTGTTGTCAGAGTTAGACAAAAATTATTCTGAAACAGCCAATCAATGGAAGAATGCAGAAAGGTCCTGGGAGCTGACTACACCCTCCTATATACGGACTTTACACAGAATTTATGGCCCAATATGCACACCATCTCTGTATATTATACAGAGGAATTGTACACACATATACCAAGAAACATGTACAAAAATGTTAATAATAACTTATTTAAAGCATCACCTTAAACATCCAGAAAATGAGCAAATGAATGCTAAGTAACAGTGCAAAATGAATGATCTAGGACCATACTTAACGTTCACAAAATGTTGAACTAAAAAAAGATCCAAAAATGATTACCTTCAATGTCATACCAATCAGTTTTAAAGCATACCTTTTTACAGATACATAACAAATGTAATAAAACTATATAAAGAAATACATAGGAATACCAAACATTAAATACCAAATTTAGGGTGGAGGGCGGAAAGGAAGGGTAACAAAGCTGAAAACACTGGTGTTTCTCATCTCCTACACTTTTGAAGGTTTTATTTCCTAAGAATGATGGCAGGTGTCTATGTTTGATATTTTAACTAATTGAGTGACAATTATAGTTGGTCCTCCATATTCATGGATCTACATCAGAGGACCCAAATGATCATGAATCGGAAATAATCTGGAAAAAAATTAGATCTCCACTTTAAACATGGATAAAAACATGGACAGCAATAACTTATTTGCATATTATTTACACTGTATTGGGTTTTATAAATAATCTACAGATAACTTAAAGTACGTAAGAGGACTGCATTTCAAGGAACCTGGGCATGCACAAAGTTTGGTATCCACGGTGTGGTAATGGAGTGATCCTGGGAAGTGAGGGATAACTATACTTAAATCTGAAAATGCAATGTTATCCACTGTGCTGGTTAACTTTAAGACCTCAAACGTTGCACCATTAGACTGACTCATATGAAACTGTCTGCTGTATGTCAAAAAGACAAATACTAACAATTCAATATGGTTCAGGCTATTAACAAGAATTCTCCATATGAAGAATAAGGCACTGGTAATCATTCCTTTTTCCCAAAATAATGTACCATCAAGAGCTCTATATTTAATGATAAGATTAAGGGAAGAGAAATTATAATTGACAACGGACAAAGAAACAGATAAACCATCACATATACAGAACAAACTGCATAACTTAGAAACACATATTGTACAAAATGTGGTCAAACACTACTCTGCTATCATTATTTATTTCTTTCAAAACACTTATGATAGTATTAATAAATCCTTAAAAGTTCCTTGTTGGGCAAAGCAAGGATTTACATATAAAAACTGAAGTACAGAGGGGAAACAACTGATCCAAGGTCAAACAGGCAGTTAGCAATCAAAACACAGCCAAAACCAAAGTCAGGTCTTGTTCCAAAACTAGCCACCATAAATGTAGTAGAAGGTCAACAAATAAGTTACTTTTGTTTAGTTCTAATCAAAGTTTCTAAAAGGAAGAATTCAGGACAGTAACTAGTGGAGCTCTGCCTCAATATAAAAAGTTCTAAATTAGAATATTTTGTAATATAAAACTCATTATCCATAAAAATATTTTGGATAGTGACTCAATTGCTAGATTTTCATAAAATCAAAGCATGTCTAATTTAACTAGAAAATTATAACTTCTTACTTTCATCAAAGTAAGAAAATATATACTACATAACAGCCTCTCTCTCAATCCACTCCCTTTCTTCTCATAAATGTAAACATCAGTACTTTTCTTAATATTTAAACTAGAAAGAATGGGGCAGGCATTTGGCCTAGCAGTTAAGATGTCTGCACCCCAGCTTCCAGCTAATGCAGAGCCTGGGAGGCAGCAGGGAGGCTCAACTGACTAGCTTCCTGCCACCCACATGGGAGACCTGAACAATCCATAACTTCTGACTCCAGCCCAGACCTAGTCCCAGCCATTGTAGGCATTTGAGGAGTGAACAGCAGATGGGGGTACTTTATTTATTTTTCTGCTTCTCAAATAAAAATTTAAAAGTAAACAAAGTAGAAAGAATGCTGAGTTTTGTGGAAGATACTGAAGGAGACCTTGGGGCACTGTGAAAGGTTTTCAAAAATAATAGTGCCGGCATCCCATATGGGTGCCGGTTCAAGTCTTGGCTGCTCCACTTCATACCCAGTTCTCTGCTATGGCCTGGGAAAGCAGTGGAAGGTGGTTTGAGTCCTTGGGCCCCTGCACCCATGTGGGGGACCTGGAATAAGCTCCTGATTGGTGCAGCTACAGCCGTTGCAGCCAGTTGGAGAGTGGACCAGCAGATGGAACACCTCTCTCTCTCTCTCTCTACCCCTCTCCCTCCCTTCCTCTCCTCCTCCCACCTCTCCTTCTCTAACTCTTTCAAATAAATAAATAAATCTTTAAAATAATAATAATAGTAGTGGGTATTTTAAGGCAGAATTCTCACTGCTAACAATCATAGAGCCAAGATACATAAAGCAAGATAGAGAACGGGATTTTTTTTTTCTGAGATAGCAGTAAGAAACTGAAACAAAAGGGTTAGAAAAGATAAATGATACTACTCAAGTGAACTGACAGGAACACTCCACACCAAGAAGCAGAAGAAACAGTTGCAGCGCTGCACAGAAACAGCCCCACCGGGGTTGTCTCAACAGTTCCCTACCCAAGCTGCAAAGCTGCTTATCCAGAATTAAGTGAGGGAAAGAGCTGCCCCAAAAACATGCGAGTATCTGAGTATTTTTTGCATGTTGGGCATTTTTAACCCAAGAAATCTTACTACTGAAATCTACAGATGCCTACAATTATCGTCGCATTTTTGCTTCCTTCTGATTAGATGAAAGACATGCTACCCAAATCTTTTCAGTTATAAATGGCAGCTTGGATAGTCACAATCATTCCCTGCCAGATGTCTCCGGCATGCCCTGCTCTCATCAGCAGGGTGCTCTACAAGGAAAACAGCTGCCAGGATACATGCACATCACATCATCAGAGAAGGGGGTGGGGGAGACCAACCTGCCTCTGCATTCAGCTCTTCTAGAAGCCCGCTGGTCCTCCAGGTAGCTCCTGTGTCCTGGCCGCCTACAGAATTAGTGTGCTCTTGAACTACTGCAGCCGCCAATAAATTGTCCACATTTACCACTTCTGGGTCAGAGCTGGTGTCAGATATATCATAATGAGCTACAACTGGAGGTCCATCTAGGGAGGAAAGAAAATGTACACTGGTATCTAACTTGTGGGGTGAAAAAAGAGTTCTGAAACGAAAAGAGCCCTCTAAATGCCAATTGCCCTTTACCTTAGCATCCTTTCTGATCAGAAAAGCTATACATCTAATATTTTTACATGATGTGTGAAAGTGGAAAAGATAACCCAAGCTTACAGAGATGAGGGACACATTTTGGGAGGAAAGCAGTGTTATGAAGAACAGAAGACAAGACTATACTGAACAGTGTTACAATGAATTCCCATTACACTCCTAAGGAACAACAGAGTTTAGAAAAAGGGGATGATGACTCCTCAAAGTGAAACTGGCTTTTTTTTAAAGGAAAAAAACTGATGCAAACATCAAGACTCAATTTATATGTGTTAAGGGAATGAATCTAGTTCTTTTTCTTGGTAGCTAACATTGAAAGTCCTTAACAGATTCAGAGACGAAAATGACACATCCGTGCATTTTCCTACTTACTCAAAAAAGAAAAAAGCTAACACTGGAGCTCTACTAGACTAACATCTATTGGCAGTAAAGCCCTTTTATAATAAGAGATGTTATACATTTTGCATATTCTGCTAAAAAAAAAGACTCACAAAATCCATTTTCAGGATTTTGCTTTAGGTGTCTTGTGAGGGATATTTATATTTTCTTTTCCCTGAGAAAGACAACCAGCTCATACTCCAAGGAAATGATATGCAAACTTACAAGTGATTTTAGAGGAAGCTACTAAAGTTCCTGTTGGAAAAATAAGAGATCCCAAATCATACTAACTAGCTGAAAATGACAGCTGAGTCCCAAAGTAATTACACTGCAGCAATTCATGCTAAAGTAACTCAATATTCATGCTTGTAGAATAGATACATGCTTTAAAATGCTAAATGCTAACTTTTTCTAACGTTAACAGCAAAAAGCAAAAATAAAGTTTGCATAAGTAAGAACTCCCTCTACTATCCCCATTTTAGAACAAAGCAGAAATAAAGAAATGTTTCTCTCTCAAGAACTATTTATGAAGTGCAAGCAAACCATTTACTTCCATAAAATCTATGATATCATTCAATAAATGAATAAATACACCTATTTTATGAAACTCTTGACTACGGTGGAATACATATGCCAATGAATCATAAAACTATATCACAATGAGGGAGTACTGTAATAATACAAACATCCATTGTGTAAATTGTCACTGAACAAAAACATGGAACACACTTGGGATATTAATCCCTTAAAATTAAGTCCCAAACCATAGGTTTACATAGCAACATTTAAAAAAAATGACCAAACATAAAAGCAAATAAGTGCCACTGTATAAAAAAACAGACATGTCACAATATGAAATTCTGACGATCATGACAATTTTAGCTTACTCAAAAAATAATTTCCAATTCCCTTAAAAGGGTGAGTCAAATATTCAATGGTGTGGCCTTAGTATCAGCTGGTAACGAATTTTAGTTCAAACAGCAAAATATTGGTTATATTTGGGGTTTTTCTTTTCTGAAGAGAAAAGAAAGCTGCATCAGTCTATGGAGTTCTCGTCAGAGTTCAAAATGATTATTATGGAACCAAGATACTGTGTGATGTCCAAATACTAGGGTGCAGAAGATATGAGGGCCAAGTACAATATTGACTATTTGACCACATGTTCTATTTTTTAAAAAAAGCTTTGTTTTTCAGATGTTTGCAGTAAATTATTTTGGCAACTGATTTTAAAATTTGTATCATTAAAGCTGTTCACAGCTTCCTGCCCTCACATCACCCCCACCCCAAATTGAGGCAACAGGTCAACAGTCAAGTCAAAATTGTACCACTCCTACATGTATAATCATGCAAAAAGTATAAGTGTATATATATGTATATATACATGCAGAGCGACATCACCTACCCACAGAAATAACTTGTCTGAAAGTCTTCATCAGTAGGAAATACAAGCACAAACTTGTTATCTGGCTTCATTCTTGTATCTTCCATATTTCCAAACAGCACACCTTATAACTTAGCTTAAATTTAGTATTCATCATAAACAAAGAGTACAATTTTCATATTTTAATTATACTTAACAATTAAAATAAATTATGATCACTGTTACTTTTAATTTCCAATATACTCAAATGATGACAAGTCAATATTATACAGATTTCAATAAGGTAATGGAAAGGTTGCCTTTCTAATATCCCTAACCACAGTCAAGGAACTCGCACTCCAAGACCATCTTACACCTAAATTTAGCAAACCAAGGTTAAAGAAGATATGTTTAAAGCAGTCTAATATTCACTACATGAATATTAGCTAAGTGATGGTGAAAATTTGTGATATTTTAAAAATATGATTCCTGACGCCCAAAATTAGGAATAGGTAAGGGACTACAGTAACTATTTCTTTTAAAAAGCAGCAAAAAAGAGAAAAAAATGGAGACTGCTGAAAAGGGGCTAGAAAATTCAACCAGGAACAGTTATCTATCTGATAATGCCCATCATTACAGAATAGGAGAAACACAGGGAATCTTCCCTTGTTCTCACTTACTATTCCTCTATGCTGCTAAAACAGAGTTTTGATTTCAATAAATCAAAATAGTCACTTCAAATAGTTATCCATGGAAACATTTCCAATCTGAGATTTAGTCATTAGCATAAGCACATTCCATGCTTACAATACTTAAGGTATCTTATCACATTCTCCCACCTGCCTACTCTGGTATCTGTTAAAATCTTAAAGCTCTAAGTATATAATAATGATTTGACTAGTTTTTCTACAATCAGTAAAAGTACATCTCTATAAAGGTAAACGAAACAGCGAATACTCAATTTTTGGCTAATACAGGTGCTATCTCTCCAATTGATTAAAATCTTGATATTAATGCTGTTTGTTACAATTACAAGGCAAGAAAAAGAGTGAAGCAATCCACCAGTTAGTTTTCCTTTAAGAACATGAACTCATCCATTGTATGCTGTAAGTAGGTGTGTGCCCTCTCAATCTCCTATACAAATAGATTCTAACTTTTCAAACACCAAAATACAGATGTATAAGGTACTTCAAAAGGTTTGTGGACAATTAAGAGATGTTTATTTTGGTGAAAAAAAATCTGAAATCCATGCATACTTTTCATAACATGCATTTCCCATAACTTTTTGAAGACCCCACATTATCTGTGTCATCACACATTCCAGACATAGTGAAGACAGCTTTTTATAATCTTAAGCCTTTGGCAATATTGCCATCAAGTGTTTAATTCTATGAATGTTTCCTTTCCAAATATGTTCTAAGTCTCAGAAAAAAATCTGAACCACAAAAACAAAGAAAAACAAAACCTAACTTTTCCTTTACTGTGTTTATCCATGATTAACTCCTCTTTTCAAATCTGACAACCAGAAGCACCGAATTTTTAAATTCTGCATACTTTATCATTCATATTTCACAGTTGAGAAATTTCAGTTCTAATTACATGGAATAAGAATAATCTACAGTTGATCCCATTGTTGAGGGAAAGAGGAATATACAGAGGGGATTGGGAGAAGCACAGGAAGTAAAGATTTTTGGCAGCAGACACACAGGTTAAAGCCCTGCCCGCTCCTTCTTAACTACCAAGCTCAAACAAATTTATTTCACTCCTGGGTTTCTTCACAGGGCTATGGTGAAGGTTAAAGAAGATGTAACACAGAACACAGCAGTTTAAGTGCTGGTCCTCTGCGTCACCTTCTGATTATAATTAGCACTTGCCTGCTTCCTTACTTGTTTTCTTGCCCTTGCATGTACACTTTGTTGGACACAGCCTGCATGCAAGAAGCTTTGAGGAAACATCACTGCCAGGGCCGGTCTTATATTGTCATAGATGAACCAAACCTGTTAAGCAAATGCTTTGTGAAATTAACAGTTAAATAAAATCATTCAGATGTAACTTTTATATTTTTCTTTGCAGTGAAATGTTAGCTTGTATGTATTCAGATAAAAATGCTTCAAAGCCTAACAGAAATTATTTCTGGATCAGTCCATACTTAGCATCATACTTGCCAATAGAGCACTTCCACTGACACAAATGTTGTAAAGTCTCTTTATGAAGTCAGAACCTACGAAACAGGAATTCATTTTGTATTCCAGAGAAACCTGGAAACACCACTCCTCCTTCTCTCTATATTGAAAAGTGTTAGGCCCAAAGAAAGGTAGGTAATGGACTATTTAAGGATTGACCCTTTGACCCCCTGTATAAGGCCACGGTAATGTCTGACAAAGCCCAGAGGAAATGCCTTCTTTCCTACCTGCCATACTTCATTTCTCCAACCTTCTCACTAGGAAGAAAAATTTTATGTTGTTGCTGCCAAAGGGCCCCTAGATCCAATAGCATTTCTACCCAACATCAAGACAAAGCTTCATTTCAGAGAAACTCAAAAAATGTTCATCTGAAAGAAGGGTTCTTAGAAATTACCACGCTAGTATCCTTCGATAGCTCAGCTGGTAGAAATTACCACACCAAGGGACCTAACCGGCACGCATGCGTGGTGGCCAGGAAAAGGAATGAGGTAGGTATGAGGGATCAGGGAAGAAGCAAACTTCCAAAGCGGCTGACAGGACTCTGCATCTCAGCAGAGCCTCTCATCACATACCAGAATATTGACCAAGATGAAAATTTACATGCACAAGTGACAAAAAAACCTTAAAAAGAACGCCTGTGTTATATTTCTTTAACTATAAAAAATGAATATACAGAACAATTTGAAAAGTCATTTTCAAAGCATCTCCTGGAAAATTACATCAACAAAAGACTCTATATAGAAAAACAGCCTTGAAAACTGAAAGCTATATGTGTATAGTTTCTTCAGAATATCATAAAGCTGGTTTAGTAAAGACAAAAATGTATGTATTTAATTGAAATTAAATATAGCAAAATGTACTGAAATTTTGGAGTCAACCCATTTTTAAAAAATAAAATTGAATCAATATCCATTTGATACTTTTTCTACTGTACTCATTTCAATTACTACAGATTTAAACTTTA